ATCTTGTTCTTTAGGTAATCTTTTTTTCTGCTTTTGTTAGTTGCTTTCCTTATTATGATTATCTCAAAGTTTTCTTCTGTTAAATTTGATATCCATCCCACTTTATTTATTAGTTCTGTAGTGGTATGCTTTAGTTCTTAGTTCATTTCCTTAACTTTGCCATCTATTTTAGCCCGTGGTCTGGGAAGTCCTTGCTTCATTGGCTTTGTGTTTTTATTAAGTTTGTCTGTAGTGTAAAATTTTCTGGAGGAGTTTGCTTTTGCTTCTTTTTCTTCTTTTCTTCCAGATTGGTTTCTTTCTTTCTTTCTTTTTTTTTGGGGGGGGGGCGTCATTCCCTCCCTCCCTCCTTTCCTTCACTCCTCCCAACCTACCTTCTTTCCCTTCCTTCCTTCCTCCCTTCCTTCCCACCTTTCTTCCTTCTCTTCTGTATTACATATCTTTTTACCTCGCTTATGTTTAATATGGGCAGTTCAGTGAAGTGCTTAAGAGAACAGACACTAGAGCCCCAATACCTGGCATGCATTCTTGATTCTTCCATTCAATAGTAACACAACTTGGGGCATATATTCTCTGTGCTTCATCTTTTTCATCTGTAAAATGTGAATAATAGTAATTCCTCCTTTCTAAGGTTGTTAAGGGGACTTAATGAGATAAGGCACATGCACTTCCTAAGCATGCTTTTCTTACCTGCATAAACAACATCAGTGCTGCTGTTGGTTCTGATAGAGGGTAGTTGAGCATTCCTGGCTGTGCGTCTAGAACTGTTGGCCTTTACCTCTGAGCACCATTATGGGGTAAGGGTGAGGCGAAGGGCCTGGCTTTGTACATTTTGTCTTTGAGACTCTGAGTGTGTTCTGGAACTTTGTTAGAGGTTCTGTTTGAGAGATATATCCTGTTCCTTTGGAATGCCTAGGTTAGGGATGAGCTTCCACAGGCATCCAGCTTGGAGCCCTGGAACGTGAGGATCCAGGTGGTGACCCCTGCTCCTGCCCGAATTCTGGAACCTGGGTGGGCGGCCTGCGTGTCTTCTTCTCAGAGCTTTCCTGTCACTGTTCCTTGACTGCTTACTCACCCCTCAGTTTACTATTGTCTAAATTGATCTTCAGGCTTTCGTGGGCTTATTCCTACGCTACCCCACCCCCTGCCACAGTGGCAGTGAGGGTGGGGGCAGCATCCTTCCATGCGGTCCTAGAATCTTCCGTCCCTCACCGTGGTTGCCGCTTTTCAAAGTGCGTAGGCTGAAGTTATGCTTCTTTCTTCATTGGCTTGTTTTCTGCTGTTGAAAATTGTCCTGGCTTTTAATTCTCACCTCTTGTTGGGAAATCACAATTCTCTGATCGAATTTTATTCTGCTGTCTTTATCCAGAAATCTTGTGGTGAGCTTTTAAAAAAAAGAAAGATAGAAAAAACAAAACATTCCTGGACCCAACCCTGGACCTTCCATTTCGGAGGGCCTGGAACTGGGCCCAGGTATCTCCTTTTTAAAAGCTTCCCTGTGGCTCTTCGGATCAACCAAGTTAAAATCCAGTATCCTTATGAGAGGATTATATTTTTCTCTTAGCTTTTAATTAGCCTGTCTGAAGAGCAAGTTTAATATATAAAACACTTAAAATTTCTCAGAAAGATCCCATAAATTTAAAGCTGCTCTTTGTGGTTTGTTTTCTTGCTTGTTTTTTAAGTTACCTCATACAAAATAGGGGCAAGAAAGCCCATCTCCAGAGAATGGAAATGAAAGTTGATCTTTCTTTCTAGTGGTCCCTGAGAGAAAAATCCTGATTTTCCCTTCCAGACTTCTTAAGCTTTTAGTTTTCTGCTGGCTTTTATAGAGTGAATTATTCATTGGTGCTTTTAAGAAACATTTTGAAGGCTATATATGCTAACATGGTCAAAGTGAGACTCATTCATCACAACGTGACGGTCTCCACAGGCTGTCACCCACAACAGAATATTCCCCCCTCACCCCCCTGTGGTCTTTAATCCTGTTTAGGATTGGATTGGTAAGAAGGAACTAAAAAGAGTGCTGGTTTTACCTTTCTATATTCAAGCTATGTTTCCTTCAACTGGATATAAAATTTAAATTATTTTTATGAAGACTTAGGACTGGAAGCTAAAAAGAAAATGTAGATTTATTAATTTTTTTAATTTATTTTTTTAAATATGAAGTGGGGTTTTTTTTTGTTTGTTTTATTTAAGTAGTCTCTACACCCCACCTCGGGTTTGAACTCACAACCCCAAGATCGAGTTCAAGAGTCGCACACTCTTCTGACTGAGCCAGCCAGGTGCCCCAGAAAATGTGGATTTAAATAAACCTTTACAATAACAGTTGCGAAAGAATTTTTATATAAGATGTGAATTTCACAGTGATATTTTCAATTTGTAATTTATAGTTAATAGGAGAAATGGTTAATATTTAAAACCATGCATTAAAAATATCTCACATGCTGGGGCGCCTGGGTGGCTGAGTCAGCTAAGCATCTGACTCTCGATTTCAGCTCAGGTCAAGATCTCAGGGTCGTGAGATCAAGCCCCACGTCCGGCTCCTCTCTGGGCATGCTTGAGATTCTCTCTCCCTCTGCCCCTCCCCCCACTCCTCTTCCTCTCTACCAAAAAATCCCATATATGCTACTCTACGCATATGTGGAAAAGAACCTATTGGTTATATGGTCGTCTGCTTTCCATGTGCTCCCCTTTCCATCCCTGCCGGCTGTGAGTAGGATGGACTGTTTTTACTAAATCTACCTTTTAAGGAGTGACTGTGGTAAACCAACTCAAAGAACTGTATTGTGCTTTCAACAAACAAGATTTCTCTCCTTTGCATTATTTTTTTCTTTAAGCCACTTTATTTATTTATTTAAAAGATTTTATTTTTAAGTAATCTCTATACCCGTTGGGGCTTGAGCTCACAATCCTGAGATCGAGAGTTGCACGTTCTTTACCAACAGAGCCAGCCAGGTGCCCCTAAGCCACATTTTTAAAAGAAATGCTATTTTTCAGCATTCTTTTGGATCTAGACTTATTAGGTAAACTGTACTATGCATCCAGAGTATCAGCAGAGAAAATATGACATGTTTTATTATTATTATTATTATTATTATTATTATTATTATTATTATTATTATAAGTAAGCTCTATGCCCAGTGTGGGGCTTGAACTCATGACCCCGAGATCAAGAGTCCCATGCTCTACTGAGTCTGCCATCCAGGTGCCCTTCATATCTTCATTTTATTTCATTTATTTTATTTTTTAAAAGATTTTATTAATTACTTGTCAGGGAGAGAGCAGAAGCAGGGAGAGCGACAGACAGAGAGAGAAGCAGGTTCCCTGCTGAGCAAGGAGCCTGATGTGGAACTCAATCCCAGGACCCTGGGAGTCTGACCTGAGCCCAAGGCAGATACTTAACGAACTGAGCCACCCAGGCGTCCCCATATCTTCACTTTAAATTGCAACAGTCGATATTCTTGGGTGTTACATATTCCCTCAGAAAACTTGAAGGGGCAATAGAGGTCATTTCATCCAACCCCCTTGAACTCACAGATGAGGAGCTGGATGCACAGACTTGCTTGTTGGTTTGTCTGGGGTCACGCCATCCCAGAGCAGTGTCCTTTTTACTGAAGTCCATTGCCTCAAATCATCTAGTAACACCTGTTAGAGATGAAATCACATCCACTTTGTACGTAAAATGTACCATGATCAAAATTGTAAACTTATGATGGTACATTTTTTTCTAGGTGAATCTGTAGATTTAGGGGGAATACAAGAAAATGTGAAATAATGAAAGTAACTACTAGGAAAGAGGAATAGAAACACAGGATAAACAGGGAAGTGAATACTGAGATGTGGTCAAGTGAGGACCCCCACTGTGGACCATTAGTCAGCCTCTTCTGGCTATTTCCCTAAACTACAGCGACCAAAGTCAGGTCCCACGAGAAATCAGCCGATGGGACCCATGTGCATGAGTTTTGTTTTTCCAGGCTTACCCCATGGTTTTTGTGTAAATTTAAGGGTGTTGAATGTAGAGATTGTCTGGATTCTTGACCCAGAGGTGAGATTAGGAAGAGAGATGTGAGTGATTTTGTCTCATCTGAGTGTGTTCAGGGCAAACCTGCTGGGCAGGTTAAAAGTCCTCCTAATTAAATATCTTAGCATGAACAGCCCCCAGATTCCTTTCCTTTTCATTCCTCTTTGGGGGAGTAGCCACACAGCCTTGCCAACATGCCCTTGGCACTTGGACTTTTTTTTTTAAGATTTATTTATTTATTTTAGAGAACACGAGTAGGAGGAGCAGAGGGAGAGGGAGAGAGAGAGAGAATCCCAAGCAGACTCCCCGCTAAGTGCAGAGCCTGAAGGGGCTCGATTCCACGACCCCGAGATAATGACCTGAGCCAAAACCAAGAGTCAGATGCTTAACCGACTTCGCCACACAGGCACCCGGCGTTTGGATTTTTAATTTGAACATTTGGACATAGTCCACATACTTTCCTTGGATCGTTGTGAAGATGATCAGGAGGGAACGGTGGCCTGGAGGGAAACTCGCCCTCAGCTCGGTGCTGCAGATGAAATCGGCTGCATGTGTACACATGGTCTGTACTCTCCAATTAAAGTCAGGTCGTAACAGCCAGGTTAGCACCAGCTGGTGCCCCTTTCTGTTCTTACGTGCTCTACCTTTGAGGTCAGAGATTCAAAGAGATGCAAGTCCTTCATAACCAGAGCTTTATCACCCATGTAGAAAGATGGAAGGAAGCAAGGGGCACCTGGCTGGCTCAGTTGGAAGAGCATGCGACTCTTGATCCGGGGTCGTGAGTTCCAGCCCATGTTGGGTGTAGAGATGACTTTAAAAAAAAAAAAAAAAGGAAATAAATGGATTTCAGCTGCGGACATTTTGTGATTTTTTTTTTTTTTTTTTTTTTTACTTGTACACAAAAAGCACTGACTTCATCTTTCATTCCTGATTTCTCAATCATCTTTCTATAGAAGGTGACATTTCTGCATTTTTGTTTTAGGAACCTCGCAAAGAAATACCAACCTAAAAAGAACTCGAAGGAGGAAGAAGAATACAGGTCTGTTTAATGCTGATGATTATGTGCTGATATCTTTATGCCAGTCGTGATGATGTCTGAAGGAAAGGAGAAAGGAAATCTACAAAAATAAGCTGCATTCCCCATTCATATTTGTGCTAGTTTTTAAATTGGCAGCGAGAACAATAAAAACCCTACTCAGCTAACTTATGCCGAGTCACTAGACCTATTCCAGATTGTTTCAATTAAGGTAATTGGGAAAAGCTTAGAATATAATCTAAGCAAATACAGGAAGTGTGGATTATGCATTCCACAGTCTTGATTTGCTTTTGTACTACCAGGAGTCTCTTTCACTGAGAAATATGTCCCTTTCAGTCAGCAACTTAGGCACCTTAACATGGACAGCCCAAAAGTATTATATTTCTAATTTGGATCTAAACATCCATTGCATTAGGGCATATTTAGTATGTATCGGTATTTGGGGTCATATTTGGACCAGGTATTAACAAAGCCAAATACTGCCTTATGTAGAGTGATTCGGTGTCACAAAATGCAAAGTGTTTCAGTTGTAATTAATTCTGAGCCATTTCGATGAGAACACTTTTATGAGTAATGAACTGTCAGGGTCCTATGGGACGTTGATGCACATTAACCTGATTTTAATTAATGTTTCGTCAGCGCATACAGTGTTTTAACAGAGGGGACCTTGTTTGAAAAAGAGCGGTGTGTGTTCATTTCCGTAGGTATACGGCTTGTAAAGCTTTCCTTTCCACCCTGAACGAAATGAATGATTACGCTGGGCAGCATGAAGTTATCTCCGAGAACATGACCTCGAACATCACTGTGGAGTTAGCCCGCTATGTCCAGGAACTGAAGCAGGAGAGGAAATCGGTAACAAAAGTTTGTTTTTTCTTCCTAAGAGATGGACCAGGGGTAATGGGAATATCCTAGAAGCTTTCAAATTAAATAGTCATATAAGGTGGTCTTGAACTGAATTGTATAAAAGTTATGGACCCTGTTCTTAGAAGGTGCTTCTAGGTCTTTATAAGGGTCTCTCAGACACTGAAACTTATCTGAGGACCCCTAGGATACTAATCCCTTTGAGGAATTTAAATATATTTGAGGATATCAGACATAAAAAGAGTAAGCAGTATAAGATGGTATGTGTGGTGTGGAATAAATAGTATTAAAATAAATGCTTATAAAGTGTTCACAAAGCCAGAAAGATGACCTCAGCTCCATCTACTCTGTTCTTTGGCTCCTTCATCATCTAACGAAGAGGTCCTTTTTGCTCCTCCTACCTTCGGTATCATCTTTGCATAGCTCTTATTATTAACAAAGGAGAAAAAGGTACGCTCACACAAAGTATATTCATAGTCAAGGTTTTGTCCTAAAAGATTTATTTCTACGCTTTGGTCTGTGTCATTGTTCTCTGACCGGTTATGCAGTGCATCATAATTTTTTTTTAAATATTTTATTTATTTATTGGACAGAGAGAGACACAGTGAGAGAGGGAACACAAGCAAGGGGAGTGGGAGAGGGAGAAGCAGGCTTCCCGTGGAGCAGGGAGCCCGATGCGGGGCTCGATCCCAGGACCCTGGGATCATGACCTGAGCCGAAGGCAGCCGCTTAACAACTGAGCCACCCAGGCGCCCCGCAGTGCATCATAATTTGTTAGTAATAAAGAACTAAAGCTGGCCTGTGATAATACTTTTTTCATTTAAATTCGAGTCCACCATAATTCTTCTGGTGCTCTGGAGAAGCAGGAGCCAACAGGGAAGATGGGGTTCCTGCTGAAACGGAAGAGATATTAAATAATAATGGCCAAACTAATTATTTAATTGCAATTGTGATAGTTGCTACAAAGTGTAAGTACAGGTTCTGTAGGAGGAGGTGATAGGAATACCTAACATGCTCGTGCTCAGGATCAGGGAGAATCTTCCCAGGGCCCTTAACAGCTAACGTTTTAATAGGACTCAAAGGATGAGGAGGAGTTGCCTGGGACAAGCAATAGAGGTAGCAGCCAGTGCAAAGGCCCTGAGACAGGAAGGTATTTGGAACATCTGACGAGTTTACTTCTTACTAAGCTATAAGTAGGTAACACATGGCTTTGGGTATGTTTAGTAGTTAGGAACAGATATATGGCTTAAGATCAACCTGTTCGTTTGGGGAAAAAAACCACTCAGTTCATAAACTGAGATAAAATTTTTATCTGTTCACATTAGAGCAGTGGATCTCAACTAGGCATAATTTTTCTCCCCACCCCAGCAACACTTGCCAGTATCTGGAGGTAGTTTTGCTTAGATTAGATTGGGGGGGGTTGCCATTGGCATCTGGTGGGTAGAACCCAGAGATGCTGGTAAACATCCTACAATGCACAGAACAGCCTCCTCAACAAAGAAGAACCTGGTCCATAATGTCCGTAGTGCCCAGACTAAGAAACCTTGCACTAGAGCCCCAGATTAGATGACAGCATCTTCCAGACCATTCATTAAAGATCTTTTTTTTTTTTTAAGGTTTTATTTATTTATTTATTTATTTGACAGAGAGAGACAGCGAGAGAGGGAACACAAGCAGCAGGGCAGAGGGAGAGGGAGAAGCAGGTTTCCCACTGAGCAGGGAGCCCGACGCGGGGCCGGATCCCAGGACCCTGGGATCATGTCCCGAGCTGAAGGCAGATGCTTAACGACTGAGCCACCCAAGTGCCCCTAAAGATCTTTTCTATGATGGAAAGGAAGCAGTGAAACAGAATACTAAGAAACAGAATGAAGCACAAATACCTAATATAATCATAAAGTCAATACAGTAAATCTGAACATGATGTTAGACTGCTTCCCTGGGTTCTTGAACTTCCCTCAACCTTGCAAAGTTCACACCTTCTTCCTGTTTGTTTCTTTGTTCAGTGCTTTGTGTCTCTTGACTGACCTTCATCCACCCATATAGCTTAGAAATTTAGCCAACACCCCAAACAAGAACTCTCTGCATTTACCTTAGTACAGAATATAAATTCTGTTTCTGGAGTGAATCATGAGATATGAACCCACATAACCTGGCTTCCTGTTACTTTTTTTGAATGCCTCTCCTCCAACCACATGGCCCCCTTGCTGCTCCTCAACCTCGCCCCATGTTATCCTGCCTCAGGGCCTTTGCACTGGCTTTTCTCTCCTTGGAAAGCTTTTCCCCCAGATATCTGCAAAACTCACTTGCTGACTTCTTCTCAGGAATATCGTCCTGTTGAGGTCTGTCTTGTCCACCTTATTTAAAATTACAAAGTCCATTCTCTCCTTCCCCTCTTCATTCCCACCACCTTCCCTGCTTTACTGTTTTTCCATAGTGTTTACCAGCATCTAACATTTTATATATTTGCTTGTTTCCTTTCGTTTCACACTAGAATGTAAGCTCCGTGAGGGCAAGAATTTTCTTGGCTCCTGTTATATCCCAAGCACCTGGAAGTGTGCCAGGGTAGAAGAAAGAATTAGAAGTAGAGAGAAGCAGTCTTAGACTCAACTTCATTCTTAGACTTTGTGTTACTAGTAGAGAATCCTTGTATTTCCTTTTTGTGTTATGTTTGGGTCCTTTTGTTTTATTCACTCACTGCTAATCATATGTCTTTTGTACAGTCCATCATATCAGTAGTTTGAATTCTGTTCCTTTTTTTATCAGAAATTACAGTAATTTATAGAGTAAATTATAGGTGATACAGATACACATTAAATAATATCTTGCAATATGTAGTGTTCCTTTTATTTTAGGGAAAATTACAAGCACACATCTGAGTCAGATGTTCTCCTGGGAAGAACTGCAAACACCATGCTGTCTTAAAGCATTTTGTAATTACATTAAAATGACATTTTAGGAAATTGGGGAACCTTTTAAACTTCTAGAAAGAAAGAAAGAATATCAGTAGGCAAATGCATATTTGTGGTGTTTTAATATAATGCATCGTGAACATTTTTGGTTTTTTTCGACATATTTACCATTATTTTGAATGACTGCATAATGTGGCATTATGTTGTATATTGATACACTGTGACTTTAAAAATTATTCTGATTATATTGTCTGTTTAATTGTTTGGCCTCAAGTCTTCATTTTCATGGATTATAATAACTGATATCTATTAGGCTTTACATTTCATCTTCATAGCACCCCTTGGGGAGGGGGACCATTACACATTTTACCCCAGACCAGGAGGCTGGAGCCAGCAAGGCAGGGAGTCAGGACCGTCCCCAGGGGTGGAGCTGGGTGTCTCCCTAAACCTGCACACGTTTGCATGCATGTTTTTGTTTCCACTGAGTGACATTCTTTAACTTACATCCAAGGATGCCGGGTTAAACAGTGTGAACATCTTCATGGGCAGTGAGTTGGTAGATAAGGTGCTCCTTGAAGTCGAACCATAAGGACCAATATTTCTCCTTTAGAGCTTTCCCTTTTGGCTTCTCTGACTCTTATTAGTGAGTGATCTTACTTATTTTTGAAAAGATGACTCCAGGGGCGCCTGGGTGGCTCAGTCAGTGAAGTGTCTGCCTTCGGCTCAGGTCATGATCTCAGGGTCCTAGGATCGAGCCCCGCGTTGGGCTCCCTGCTCCGCGGAACGCCTCCTTCTCCCTCTCCCACTCCTGCTTGTGTTCCCTCTCTCGCTGTGTCTCTCTCTGTCAAATAAATAAATAAAAATCTTTAAAAAATAAAGTAAAAAGACCTTTTTAAAAATGTTGAATTGATGGATGGCATTGAAATGAGCTGCTTTCACCATTTTAGGTCTAGCTAGTATTTCTCATAGCTGACCAGAAATCATGTCTTGCTTAAGTACCAGTCTGGTTAACCATTAGTTTAATACGTTTTGGGCCATTTGATATAGTGGCGAAATCCTATCTGCCCAAAGGGATGATTTCAAATTTACGGGATTACTGCTGGATCTCATTATTGCATGTAGAGTATTTCCAAGTTCAGTTTGGAATACTACTAGAAAATGATTTCTCCTCTAGATTTTGCCATGTTTGAATAGATGAACCTTAACAAGGATCTGCATGGTGAAAAAGAGCTCATTCTGCAAAAGATGTTTTCTTCCCTCTAGATTTGAAAGGAAGGTAGTAAGAAGGAAGTAAGTAGAGGGAGAGATGGACATTCTTCCCATCTTGGGGGCCATTTCATGATAATGAGCCAGCTGTTTGTCCTTGAAGTCTTAAAAATCTCCCATTGTAAAACAGGATAACACCTATTCATGCTGTTCATGTTCTTTGGAGAAAAGATGGGTTTTAGGCAAGCCATGTCCACACCTACCTTGTTCTCATGTTACATGCAGCTCTCTTGCGTAGTATCATGAATAACCAGTGTCTGTCCCGAGACACAAATCTGTAGGCTCTTTGTTACGAAAATTCATTGATTTTTCAAAAGTAACTTCTTTAAAAGGAAACCTTGACCTGCTGTCTGCAAGGAGTTTAGATTCTTTCCTGCCTAATGTCTGAGCCAGCAACAGTTTCCATCAGATTGCATGAGTAGTCCTGGGAGCCCGCAGGGAGCGTGCTCTTAATTTCTTCACCTAATGGGCTCCGCTGCAGAAATTATATTTTTAGCGAGATACTCGCCTTCTCTTTAGAGAGAATAGAATCAGGAGCCAGTCTTTGGGGCGAACGTAAATCAAAGTACACAGTGACAGTTCCTTTGCTTTGTATTCAGTTTTTTGTCTGCATATGTAAATTATCAATAAATCTTTACTATGTGACAATGTCTAGGATTTACTGGTGTTCAGTAGAAATTACTGGGAATCAACATTCTTTATAAGGCAGCATGCTTAGTTTTAATGTGTAAAATCTGGGAATTTTATACATGCCTGATTTTCCTAGATTTTGACAGATTTACAGTAAATACAATATTCTTCTCTTTTAGCTGACCA